AAAACGTGGTGCCACAACCCACCTCTTTATACGAATATATAGCGGAGTAGAGTAGTGACATCCACCTCAGGAAAAACGTGGTGCCACAGCCCACTCCTTATACGAATATATGGCGGAGTAGAGTAGTGACCTTGAGCTCCTCACCACACTCATTGAAAGTGTGAAATACTTTGGATAAAAGACGCTTGGTTCTGCACGCATGACATTAGCGAAAGTGAAAAACCTCCACAGAGGGACAGAAATTGTGTCAAGCCGAACACCCACGCGTAACCGTACAAACAGAGCAATCGGTGGCTAATCGTGGTGAGATAGGACTGTGAAGCGCTCAGTCGAGAAGTACTAGAGACTCGCGCAATTACGGTTTACCGAGACAGCAAATTCCACCACTGAACACAGATGACGGAGCCCAGAAATGGAACTACTCAGTGCCTAGTTTGCACCGTGTGAGACAATGAAATCGAAACTACTAGAATATTTCTAATCTGGATGACAACTTTCACCGAGACAAAACTCTTGAGTCTTTCTTACACGAGTTACTAAACTCGCAAGCTGTAGGTCCTGTGACCACAGCACGTAATGAGCCGTGCGTTACACGCGCATACGCCTTGAGAGTTATATTATGATGAACTTGAACTTCGCATCGACATCAGACAGTTCTTGAGGTTACATGACGGCTTGAAGAGTTCTGAATGCAAATGTAACCTACTCGTTTCGGATTCGCACCTGCAACTTGACGCTTCGCAACAAAATCAATGGTTCCAGAAACGGACCGAGATGTACTAGAAATGTGGTAAGAACAAGTCTTGCACTACATTACTCCCTCTTGTGAGAGGACAGAAACAACCTTCTCAACGCAACAGTATCGATCCCAGATAAAACCATATCGATTCCTTAGTCTAATAGTGGAGTTGTACTGACTAGCTCTAACTTGGTAAAATAGGTAGCCGAGTCGTTGCAGGTAGTTTGTGGCTAATCGAAGAAAAGCTCACCAGATCTACGCTCAGATGAGTACCATTCCATTTCCTGCTGAGACTATTCTAAGAAAAGATAGACGATTGGTAAAATAACACTGGTAAAAAAAGAAATGAAAGATAAATTATCGCTAAACGCTGACGGTCTAGCTACTGTTAGGAAAGAATTTCTACTGCTCAGCGATGTGCTGCTTGTTGCAATAGTATTCATTCTCGATCTTGCTCCGTTTCTTATTACGATTAATGTATCTGAAATCAAACAGTCAGCTCATAAGGCGAGCTTAAGCGAAACCCGTACGTGAGGCAATTCTTGATGATCCGTGTGGCGATTGTAGCTCCGGTTAAGCGAGGGTAATCACTCTCTACTTCACGGAGGATACCCAAACGCTTTGGAACTTCATTCACTTGTATCACCTAAAGCAGCCGTTAAAACATCATCCTACCAAGCAAGACTGGTATTTACTTCTCCTATCTCATCATAATGAACCCACTTGGGTCGACGGGAACCTACAAACAGCCTCACAAGAATCTCATACTGCGTAGAGAACGAACTTATCGAGCCTTGTGCACAATACTGATATTCATAGTCCTAATCAGTCCTCACTGATCTCACAGGGCGCCGATTATAACTTCATCGACATGCTTGCATGCACTCACGTTCA